GACGCCCAGACAGAGAACGCGCTACGTGTGACTAAGATAGCTATTGTACAGTCTGCTAAACAAGTTATTTTAAATAGTTTTTAATATTTTTAGGTAATTAAATTTTAAAAGTGTGGAATAGTTTAGGGATTAAATTGGTCTGATTGGACTTTCTTAGAACATTTTTAAAAGCAGCTAAAGATAGTATGTAGAATTGAAAATAATTATTATGCCATAAAAGGTGTTTTGGAATTCCTTCAACCTTTTGAAATTGAGTCAGAAAATATAAATTTTATAGGATAGCGGAAAATACCTATAATTTTTATGTAGGCCTTTGTAAATCGTGGAAATAGTTTATATTTTATTTTTACCTTATTAAGGAAAATTGTACCTATTATTAATAACGGTTGTTTCTGAAACATTACTAAAATTTTCGAAATTTTGTTTTTCTACAAAATAATAAACTATACTATTTAGAAAAAAATTTATTTCTCTTATTATTTTATAAAAAATAACGGGAATATTTACATTTCTTGATCTATTAAACAAAACGATAAATTATCTCGACGAATGACACCATGTTCTAGTACGGAAGCTAGCTTTACATTTTTGTTGGTGGTTTCATGGGTTTCATATCAATTTTTTGTAATTGTAGTTTACACGTACATATACCTCTTAACACTTGTTTGCTTTATTAAAAAAGTGTGTTGTTGTGATTTACGTCGAAATAAGTCAAAAACAACTTGAAACCCCATATAAAATCAAAAAGGAGAAACGGAAAAAAATTGAGCCTGTAAATGAACACAACTCAGAAACAAAAATAGCTATCTAATAATAAAAAAAATAAAATTTGATTCTTGTGCAGCTTCATCTATATCATTAACTGTTTTTGGGTTTTTAATGGTTTTTCTTGGTGATGAAAATTCCGATATCTCACGGTTATCGATTCTTTTTTTCTCTCCAGAAATGCGGACGACAGTGTTTTTAGTTACTCCCGTGGCTGCAGCAACACGATCATTTACATTTTTAAATGGTATTGAAGGTGAATTAAAGTTTCCTTCTCTTCTCATAAACTCTATAACATTGGCTATTATTTCGCGAGATTGACTGTTAATCACGCGGCCTCTTAATTTGCTATTAAACTCCATACTTAGGTTCTATTAAACTGTAATGAGCAAAAAACACAAACGAAAATAAAAGAAATGTTTTAGCGAAATTTACATCTGACATTTACGTCTGAATGAAATAGTGAAATACTTGATGCGCAGAGTGTACTTTCATTGCGTAAATCCGTCGGGATGCCTGTCAGTAGTGCTTTCTCTGTCTAGCCGTCGAAAGCCTCTAGAAATTTGATGAACTGTATACTACATACTGGGGTCATTTTGACCCTAAGCATTATAATGTTTAGTAGAATTTTTAATACGTTAAACTCAGTGTAGTACGGTAACAAGATTATCTAGAAGGAAAAAATGTACGTTTTATAGAAACCTATAGAAGTTTGGGCATTGTATAAAGAACTAATAGTACTCTCACTTTATGGAATTTTCATTGGAGCGAAATGGATACTACCAATAGATGGCGCCTAGTGAATTTGGATAAGTCGATAATCGCTTGTTTTGAAGTGGGCGGGTTGAGAGTCCAGCTGAAATTTTTGTGAATGACGGAGACCGATCCATGGGTTTCTATTTTTAGCTCTTGGATGAAATTTTATTCATTGGACTATTTTCTATCTAATGTTTGTTATTGTGCGTTAGTACGTTTACGGGTAGTAGGTATTGTGAATGAGTTGTGTTTGTTTTATTACTGAATTATTTTACTGTTAATAAAGGACGAGTTCCCAACAAGAGTACCTACATGACTTATATAAAAAAATTAAATTATAGTTTAAATTATTTTTTGGAAAGTGTCAAAAATGTTTACCGAATTCAGTAAAATGATACTGAAAAATAAAAATATTATAGCCATTAATAATTTTTAAATTTTCAACTTTTCGAAAACGGATATTTTTTTTTTCTAAGCATATTTCGTTTAATAGTTTTATTTTTAATTAAATAATCTTCAGTTGTACTATGTCCAATCCTTAATGATATATATTATGATATAAATTAGTTAACTATTAATTAATGTTTTAAAATAAGAATTAAAAATTTGTGTATTTATAACTGTTTTGAAATTAATAAAATAGAAAATATGCTTTTGTTTTTCTTTTCCTTTACATGTTTTATCCGAATTTACTTAAAATAAATTATATAATATTAATAATAGCAACAATAATACATTTCTTAAGTGTTGAGAAAAATTGTATTTTTAATTCAAATACATATACCTATAGGTAGGTAGGTAAGGTACCTACCTAAGTACTTAGCATAAGTAATTATAAACAACAGGTTATTTCTTTAATCTGGTGCGTAATAATGTAAATAAAAAAAACCCTTAAGATGGTTCGTAAATAATATGATTGAATTCTTAATATTGAAGTAAACACAATGGGTTCTATAATGGCATTTAGGATCAAAATATTGAAACTAAACTTGGTATATGGATGTATTATCCCATAAAAATAAAAATTGCTTTAAAAAAATTAACCCCTCCCCACCCCTATCTGATATGGTGAGGGTGGCATCCCCAAAAAATTAGGTTAGAACTTTTTAAATAAAACAGTTGAAGTCTACGATTTTTTATACATAAAAACCCAAAATTACAATTTTTTTTTAATTTAGAAAAAAATTCGACTTTAATCTTCATAGTTCGAGTGTGGCGGCTGGCATTTAAACATAGTTACAGAAGACATACAAATCTTATTTTTAGCATATTTATAATTTAAATGATTTGCAACATTTTTGTATAAAAATTTTACCACCACTATCCCCTAGAGGGAAATGGAGGGGGTGGCATCCCCAAAAAATCAAGTTAGAACGTTTTAAATAAAACAGTTGAAATATACGATTTTTTATACATATAAACCCAAAATTTCAATTTATTTTGATAAAATTTTTCCAAAATTTTTTTTGGACTTTCTGAAAAATTTTATAAAATAATTGAAATTTTGGGTTTGTATGTATAAAAAATCTTAGATTTTAACTGTTTTGTTATATGTTCTAACTTGATTTTTTTGGGGATGTCACCCCCACCATATTAAATAATGGTGGGAGGGGTGAATTTTTTTAATGAAATTTTTATTTTTATGAGATAGTACATCCATATACCAAGTTTGGTATCAATATCTCGACCCTAAATGCCCCAACCGGATTATTTTTGTTGGTATTTCCAATAATCCTGTTGGTTAGGTTTGGAAAATATAAGTAATTTTTATGCATAATTATTGGTATAGGTAGATTGAAGTGATTATTTTTAGGTGGTTATTTACTGTTTTATTTAAGCTCAAGCTAAACATTTTTTTCTTTAAATAATGTAACTTAAACTAATTTTAAATTATATTGTTTTAATTTCTTTATTATATTTAATATTATTTCTACTTTTTCTAACAATAATCAATACGGGAGAAGCAGAAGTGACATTTTTACAAATGAAATTAATTTCAACAAATGTATTTGAGATTATGTATAAAATTATTCATTAATTCATTATTAATGACACCTTTTATAACCACTATTGCATATTCAAAAAAAGCTTTAAATAAAAGTTTGTGGATATGACTGACTTTTTTTAAATATACCATAAAAACACTTATTCAGATTTCACGGAATACAACACAAATTAACATTATTAAAGTAAAAGCTATGAAAATCACAACTATTATGTTTGATAATAAAATAATCCAAATAGGTAGTTTACAGTGAGGAAGAAAAAGTGTAAATATTTATAAGATATTCGATGTTTAATTAATCAGGAAAGAATAAAGATCATTCCGAAAATTGAATAAAATATATATTTATGCTATCCCTATTAAAAAATAATTATGTTAAATCCTGTGAAATAGGCATGCCACTGATATGTTCATTTGATGACATTTTTACAAAATTCGGTCAATGTAAACATTATACAATAATAAATATGGCATAAAGGGAGGGTAATTTATAATGAATAACCCTGTTAGGTACCTAATAATTTTCAGTAAAAAAATTTTAATTCGCACTTTTTTACGTAGATTAAAGAAAAATGTAATTTCTTGTTGTCTTGGTGCAGACATTTTGCGACACATTTTATATTCAAATTTAAAATTTTCTTTTAACACATACCTAATACAAATTTATTAGCAAAATTTAAATACTTGTTATTTTCGGTATATTTCTCCTTTAGACACACACATTTTTAGTTTCATTGTCAAAAGATTTAAATAAAATTATCGGACCTTATAATATTCTATTATAATTTGATGATCCCGAGTGGCCATAGCAAAAAGACGAAATTTGAGCATGAAGATTTAGATGTCATTAACGTAAAATTAATGTTTTGAAATTAATTTAAGTTTTACCAATTTAGAAAATAAAATTAATTAATAAAAAAAGTGTCTACTCGTGGGTTTGAACTCGGAACCCTTCGATTCATAGACGAGGACTTTAAATATTCGTTATGGAGGCTTACGGGAATGTTTTACTTTTTAACGCTGATAATCAGATTGCTTTTAGTTTCATTAAAATCTCAGTTAATTTTTAAATATAGACGAATATCTTGTGGAATGCTATTATTTATTGATTCTTCACAAGAATCACTAATTTTTAATTATATTTAATCTTAATAACTAAAAAAATATATATTGACAATTAATTTGACGGAATTGTCACTTATAAAGTTCTAACATCTGACGTAGAGGGCATATCTAACCAGTAAATAAAATCGTTAGTTCAATGATTTTCCCAATAGATGTCGGGCGCGATTGCCTCCAATAACTTTTACATGGCGATTATCCTACTATAGTTCTTTATACAATGGTTTGGGATCAAACAGATCCCATGTATGCCCTCCAATGGTTAATTATTTTCTACTGCACTAATTCTTTTTTTAAATACTAAAATATGCTTTGCATGGCAATTATTAAATTTTGTAATTTTTTTTTTCAGGAGGAGGTAATCCACAAGATCCAAACGACGATTCGCACTGTAAAATACATCCTGCGATGTAACAGATGACGATCGCAATGTCAAAATATCCATTTTTCGTCAGCGCCTACTGGACCGCCCGCGGATTTCTCGAAACAAATGCCGGAGCGATAGATAAAAAAAGTAAAAACAAAAACCCGACACAGCGCGTGGCAATAAACCAGAAATGGATTTGTAGAATGTTTAAAGTAAAATAAATAAAATACAAACGAAACGTAAATAAATCTGATGAAACCGGATCATGGATTGACGGGACAATGGTGTTTGGATTTTGGATTTGGATTGGAAATGATGAAGAATAGGGAGGTCGTTATTGGGATTATGAAAATGATATGGTAGGATGAACTATTGATTCAATTTCGTAAATTATTTAATTTAAACCTATACAGGGTCCCTACTATTTCATGGGGACAATATTTCTTAAACCGAATAGATAGAAATTTTGTTAAATTCGACAAAATTTACGCAGTTTTCTGCTAATTCAAATGGTGCCAAGAAACTTTTGATATCTACAGGGAGATTCAAAATATCAAACAAAAAATGAATGAATTTAAAGAACTGACAATTTTCATTTTTGTTCGATATTTTGGATGTACATATCATGGATTTCTTGGCACCATTTTAATGAGCACAAAACTACAAAACTTTTGTGTAATTTAAGGTCCTTTTAGACCGTCATATCAGTTCTCAGTTCAGTTTCAATTTCAGTTCAGTTATGACTTCATTTGTGGAAACGCTGTGGTTTCATGTTAATTTAATGATGGAACTTCATTTTGAACCTTATGAATGGTTAAACTACTTACGGACAAGCAAGGATGCATATCAAGAATTGCTGTACCTACTTAGGTACATCAATTATAAAAAAGCAAGACATGACAGGAGATATATTACTATATGACAAGTTAAGTGCAACACTAAGATTTTTGGCAACTGGAAGTACTTTCCAAAGTCTTAGATTTTTTACTGTAATAGTATCATAATATTTGAAACTTGTAAAACTATAAAAAAGTTTTGAAATACTGTACTGTAAGTAAAGTACTGTTGCAGATAAAGATCAATAATTTTTGTCAAAAAGTCGTGTTTTAACAGGTTTGTTCCAACAACGATCAGAAACCAGTCATTGGCACCAGGTTTGTACGCAGTATGAATTTGGCGGTCTAAATAATCTACTGCCCAGAATCTTGATGTCAATAACTGTTTTTGGATTGTTGTTGAAACAAACCTAACATAACGATATATACAAATCTTCTGCGAGTAAGGTACGTTAACCGACAAGTTCGTTTACACATCACTTACTGTACGTAAACTTTTGGGAAATCCTTCGAGCCATAGCTCCGTGTCAGTTTTGTTTTAGTTTTTCTTTTGTTGTTTCGTGTCTACAAATACATATAACTGACAACTGATCTGAAACTGAAAATGAACTGAGAACTGATATGACCGTCTAAAAGGACCATTAACCAACTTTCCATCTGTTATTGTTTAAGAAATAGCAATACTGTCCCTATAAAATAGTAAGGACCCCGTAAAATAGTGCAATTTTTCAAATGTTTTTTTTTATTGTACCTACATGATAGTTAAGTAGTTTATTTGATTTGATCTAGAAAGTATTTTTACTTGTTGTTTTCTTTGGTTACCTCAGTCTTAAAATGCTTACATAAATATGTTTTAAACAAACTATTAGTATGAAAATATTTGGGCCTTTTAAAGTCATACCAACCTTTTCTTTTGTGTTTTTTTTTTTCATTGATCTGTCGTTTCCGATAGTTCTTTTTTATCGCTTTTTAAGGTGGATTGATAATTATTTTTTCCATTGATAAAATTTCTATTGGTTTTCCTCCAAATCACACATTTGTTCTTCCATTCCTTTTACGTGGTTATGCAATTTCTTGCCTGTTTTTCCTACCTTCCCAGGTAGCACAGACACGTTTTAAAGACAACTTAAAGACGGTTGTTCACGACGTTCATGATATTTTGAATATTTATTTATTTATCTATTATCCAATCAACGGTACAAACCTATTACAGGTGGAATACAAATCAAAAATAATATAAAAATAAAATACAATGTCATATATACATACATTAAATACATGAAAACGTAAATATTAAATTTACAAAAATAAAACGAATTCGGACAATAATACATATGTACGCTCATATCCAAAAGCTGTTTTAAAGGCGTCTATAGGACGTACATTGTTACAAAACAAGGCGTCTTTTGGACATTCAATTTTGTACGTCTTTAAGACATCCAGTTTTGCCCGTCCTTAAGACAAACCATATTAGACGTGTTTAAGCCGTCTATTTACTTGAGGGAAATTCTGAGTCGATCTTTTTGCCTCTGAGTAAAGTTACATGTAGGTTTACTTGACAGATTACCAAACAATACCCCTATAGTTTAATCAGCAAGTAGTTACTTTTAAGCCAAAACCTTATCGGACTCAAATATAAGCTAGGGACACTTAGAGAAGCAAAATGACACCAAAATCATGATACATACTTTTGTGGTTTACGAGACATAGAATTCGGTCGAAAATTTAAATGAACGAAATCACCTAGATATCAAAGATTACAAATTATGGCCTACTATATTAAAGTGTTAATATCTGTCTGTTAAATTACCGTTGTATATTAACATACTTTTCAGTCAATAAGCAATCAACTATAAATTTCTCGATTATTCAACTTACACCTAGATCAAGCCTTTGGTAACTTCAGAAATCTCAAAATTTAAAGCGTCGAAGACGCACGGTCCCCCGGTTCTATATAAAAACACACTACGAAAAAGTAATGACAATGTGCGAAACTATGTCATCAGCCAATGAGAATGACGAATGACGGTCGTACATGCGCTGCAGGCAGCGCCAAGAACGGTGTCGTGGCGCCATGTTCAAATATAGCAAAAAGAGTTAAATGTATACAATACTTACATCTCCAAAACGTCCTAAAACAGCCCAACAAAAACGTTTTAGACATATCCTATCTTAAAGTCGCCAGTTATATGTACCAGGACATTTGGACCAAAGTAACCAAAGTAAAACATGAACTGAACGTCTTTAAGATGTAGTGTGTTATCTGGTGTGTTATCTGGTGTGCTATCTGGTATGCTATCTGGGTTCTATATCTATAGGCCACATCATCTCTTAATATTTTCTGTATCTCACTCTTGATAGACCTTTCCAGTAACACTACGAGTTTAGTTTTCCTCTCTGTCATCATAAAGTCTCATTTACCATGCTGATGACAGGTGACAGAGAGCCTTTAAGGTCTTTCTTAGGATTATTGAATCCGCCTCTTTATTATCTACTGTGGCTTGGCACCCAGGCTAAGTCTTTTTTGTATACGCAAATCGATATGGCTTCTAAGCACAAGCTTTTTATGTACCTACATGGAACAGTGCTTTAAAAGTCTTAATACTTCTTTTGGGCAGTTAATCTATTGCTGCTACTTTGGCTGGAACAGTGAGATTCTTCTCTTTAGCTTGAACCTGTAAATACCTTCTACAACTGTTTCTTTGTTTAGAGCCGTTTGTATACCAGTTAATTTCTGTACATAGGAGATCCTTACTGTCTGGTACTCTTGGAGGTAAGTCTCTTCTAATATGTTCCCTTGTTTCCTGTCGCGTGCAATAAAGCAAGCAAGTGAGCAACCCCAAAATAACCAGATGTTTGTGTAAAATTGTATATTTTAATTGGAAGTGCTGTTAAGGGCCAAAACATTGTAGACCAGTACTGGTATTTAACTGTTCGTCTGTTTGAATGTAACACGGAGGTTTCTCAACGAGATTTTATTAAATACAACTGTATGATTATTAATATCCGTCATACACAAGCAAAAGCAGGATCAAATCCCAATAAGGCTGCATCAGTAAATAAAGAAGGATCATTTCTTTTTAAGGTTGATTGCTAACTGTGATCCATTCAATTCCCACACGTGTTTTTTTATAATTTTTTTTACATGGTTGTGCAATTGCCTCGTTTCTTTTCTAACCTGGTTCACTCTTTCCTTTTTGCCTTTTAAAATTTAATTAAATGTCTTTTTTTGCCATAAATTTTAATATTTTAATAACAAAATTTCTTTTTACAGGTATTGCTGGACTTAATTTTAAAACTACAGTGAAGTGTTAATTTTAAAATAAAATAGATTTAATTTGGTTTAAATAAAAGTTTCTTTAAAAATTGGTTGTATTCTAATTTAGAATTAATTATATTTCATAAACCACATAATATTTGACTTTTTAGGTACATTGGTAGATATATTTCAAGATATTCTGCTTTCTCATATTGGGGCATTTAATAACGGGTATTGGTCCACCGATGTTTTTTTCCATTAAATGGTTCGGACCGTCAGCAATCACCACTCAACATTTGATGATAATCTTCTATGAATTTACTACCTGAAGATATTGGGACATCGCGTGCACTACTTGCCCAGAGCGTGGACTACTTAGCGATCACTCCTTGTTGGAAGCCAATGATATTGAGCTGTAATGACGGGGTGAGACTCTTAAACTTGCAGTCTCGGTTTTTGGCTTACAAAATTAGAAGACCAAAACTGTTGATACAAGGCCGAGACTGAGCTGGTCGTGGTCTTGATACCAGGCTTGGGAAACTTTCTAACCACCAAGCATAGGTAACTAAAAAACAAAAAGTGTTACGATTCGAGTTAAGGAGGTCCTTTCGCCACACCTCTCGCCTCAAATGTTAAAAAAAAAGTTATTAGATTATGACTAAAATTAATTTTTTTCTAATAGTTGAAGTCCTTATTTATCTAATACTGAACTTTTAACTATACCTTACCTTGCAAATTTTTGAGAATTTTTTTTTTAAAAATGTGAGTATTTGTACAATGCCTCACGAGAAAGTAAGTCCTCAACAACAATTCTCGAATTATACTATTATTTATTGATTAGATGGAGTAGAAAAAACTAAAAATAAGGTTTTTGAAATATTTAGGTTTTGTTTTTTACAATAAAATATATAGGTTACCGTGGAACTTATTGAGAAATTAATATTAAAAAATCACAAAAAATTTTCAAGTAACCTAGTTGAAAATTTTTTGTGATTTTTTAATAATAATTTCTCAATAAATTCCACGGTAACCTATATATTTTATTGTAAAAAACAAAACCTAAATATTTCAAAAACCTTATTCTTAGTTTTTTTCTACTCCATCTAATCAATAAATAATAGTAAAATTAATTATAATTCGAAAATTGTTGTTGAAGTCTTACTTTCTCATAAGAAACTGTACAAACACACACATTTAAAAAAAAAAAAAATTCTCAAAAATTTGCACGGAAGGTATAGTTAAAAGTTCACTATTAGATAAATAAGGACATCTACTATTAGAAAAAAATTAATTTTAGTCATAATCTAATATTTTTTATTTAACATTGGTGGCGAAAGGACCTCCTTAATATTATAAGAAAAAAAAAACAAGTTTTAATCTTACACGTATATAAAATGGATTGGATTTTAAAATGTTACGATTATAGATTGTGTAATATTTGTATAAATGGTGGTATACAAAGTTAAAATATTTGAGATATGGTGGAGAATAAAACGTCTATTATTCCTTTTGATTTTGTCTCTTCTACCAATAATAGGTACTTGCTGAAAAAAAAAAACATGCTCAAGAGATTAGCTAGTCTTGTAACAAGACCAAGACTAGGGACCTAAGGCAAGAAATGAATTATCCTTTAACCATATAAATAGCAAAATAAAGGAAAATAAATAAAATTCAAAGCAAGTTACTTTAGTACAATGTTGAATATAAAATACAGTAGAATAATTTTCTATTAATCTTAACCACTTTTCAGATTTGAACATTTTCCGTTATACAGGGTGGACCGGATTTAATTTGCGTATAGAGACATCTCCTAAACCGTAAGATATACATTGTCAGTTAAATTGGGAAAAAGTTTCGTATTTTGAAGCATAATACAATGGTCTATAGAAGTTCCAGATTTACTGACTGGTTCCGGAGATATTCGATAAAATCCGAAAAACCTCATTTTCGTTTTTTAAGTCGTGCGTTGTTATTATAAAAGATACAAAAAAAATTATACGAATTTTTTGTTATAAATCAGGTTCCCTATATTCTGCCATGTCAAAATTTTTATTACGACGTTTCGTTATTTCCAGGGCCACCTTCAACTTATTTTTTTAAATACGGACCTGGATTTTTAACCTGGATTGAAACACAATACAAGAATTATTTAATTACAAAATGGGTTACAATTTTTTATCAAACATGATTAAGTACAACCAGCAAACAAGACTAATGAAGAACGAATTATGGTTGTACACATTCTACAAATAATAAAGCTAATAACAAAAACATAAAATGAAAAACAAAACGGTCAAGCAATCTATAAATTCTTATCACCTGATTTTCTGTAAAATCATTCGCTTAGGTTTCTCACACCGTATTTTTTCTATCTTTATTATTTTCATTTTTGCATACATAAGATCTTAACAAAATCATGTTTGCCATGCATGTCAGTTGTAACTTGTCACCAATATTTCTGTTATAATCTGTAACATCTAATATTACAATAGTTTTTTAGCTTTAAATAATTTAAAATTAAATAAATATTATGGTTCGTTATACTGAAGAAGAGAAGAAAGATATGTATGATGTGTACATAAGATGCTATAGGAATGAAACCCGGTCAGCTCAGACTTATTTAGATTTATATCCTGATAGACAATAAGAGGATGTTTCCTTATATTTCAAAAAATATGGCAGAGCATAGCAGTGTGAAAAAAAGGAGAACTAGATATCAGGTTCGACATACTGATAATGAAATTAATGTTCTTGCCCAAATACATATTAACCCTGAAAATTCTACTAGTCGAATAGATAAAGAATGTGTAGTAGGAACCTCCACTGTTAAAAGAATTTTAAAGAAATAACACGCTGGAGACTCTGATAGAAGACTGATGTTTTGTCGTTGGTATAGTAGAAAACTGCGCAATGACCGTTCTTTCAACAAAAAGATATTATGGACGGATGAATGTCCTTTACTAATAGTGGAATATTTAATCCCAAGAACAAGCATTTGTATGCTACTTCTAATTCCCATTTAATCAGAGAAGTTAGACTACAGTTCCGTTTTACCCAAAATGTGTGGTGGGGACTAATCAATGATCAGATTATTGGGCCGATTTTTTTGGATGGTAATTTAAATCAGTTCCGATACCTACATTTATTGGAGGAAGTACTCGATGATATGCCCTTACAAACAAGACAAAATCTTTAATACTTTATGCAAGATGGTTGTGGTGCACACAATGCTAGGAGGGTCGTACAGTATCTCGATCAATATTTTAGAGGTAATTGGATTGGTACCAATAGACCAATAAGATGGCCTCCTCGATTTCCGTGTCATAACCCCATGGATTATTTTTTATGGGGCTTCGTAAAGAACCAAATCTACAACAAAAATATGCCAAATAATCTACAAGAACTTCCTCAACGAATAGTAGATGCACTTGAAAAAATTACACCAGAAATGGTTGATAAAGCTACATCCTAAATGTCTAGGAGAATTGCACTCTGTATCCAGCAGAATGTACTACATTTTGAGCAACTATTGTGACTGTTTTTGTTATTGAATTTTGTTTCTGTTATTAGCTTTATTATTTGTAGAATGTGTACAACCATAATTCGTCCTTCATAGTCTTGTTTGCTGGTTGTACTTAATCATGTTTGATAAAAAATTGTAACCCATTTTGTAATTAAATAATTCTTGTATTATGTTTCAACTAATATTTAAAATTTGACATTTTAAGCATTTTTTGTTTTTTAATTATTATTTAATTAGCTATTTCATAGATGAAACGTAGTAAAATGGTAAAGTGTAACATATCGTTGTATATAGCTATACAAAAGCTATAAAAAATTACAGTTAAAAATCCAGCTCCGTATTTAAAAAAATAAGTTAAAGGTACAAATACGAAACGTCGTAAAAAAAATTTGACATGGCAAATTATAGGGAACTTGATTTATAACAAAAACTTCGTATAATTTTTTTTTTGTTTTTTTTTTTAATAACAACGCACGACTTAAAAAACGAAAATGAGGTTTTTCGGATTTTATCGAATATCTCCGGAACCAGTCAGAAAATCTGGAACATCTATGGACCATTGTATTATCCGTCAAAATACGAAACTTTTTCTCCATTTAACCGACAATTTATATCTTACGGTTTATGAGATCTCTGTATACGCAAATTAAATCCGGTCCACCCTGTACATGAAATTAACTTAATAAAAATCTGATATGTCCAACACATGTCTTACCTATCTAGTTATTACAGGCTTGTTCCGATTATTTTGTATAACATATTGTAGCACCTATGTAAATGGTTAGAGGATAAACTAAATATATACATTTTCCAAATACTTCTAACTTCAAACAGTTTTTTATATATATTCATTGCCAACGAAAATACTGAAAAATTAAAATTTTATACTTTTCCTCCAATTTATCCATTACAGTCCGTTTTAGAAAAATCAGGTAAAAAACAAAAATTGTAGAGATCGATATCGCAAACAACTTTTAGTTTAACAATTTTCTTAAAAATCAGAATTTTGCACATTTTGTTAAATTTCTCGAAAACGGACCATTTTAGGAAAATTTTGTATAAAGCAAAAATTTTAGAGAATAATATTACAAGTAACTTTTATTTAAAAAAATTTCTTCTCCAATCGTAAATAACACATATATTCCATAAAATATAAAAACGACCCCTCTTAAAAGTTCCCCCTTACCAGATATTCCGACTCTGCCAAAAATCTAATCAGTTCACCGCAGGCCACAACAAAGGTTAAGTTAAAAATTTGGTGATTTTCTCTATCAGTTTTTGAGCTTTCTTCAAAATTCGAAATTAACATATATTTTTTTAAATATTTGGAATACTGTCCATTTTACAGAAAGTATGGAACAAGAATTATAAAAAACAATGTAACACAACTTTCATTTAAAAATTATTTTTTTTACATTTTATAAAATTTCTCGAATACGGACCATTTTAGGAAAATTTTCTATAGGACTAAAATTATAGAGAATAATAAAATAATTTTTTTCTCCAAACGTAAATACCGAATATATC